TCAGCGCCGCCATCAGCCGCGCCGCGTGCGGCCCCGCGTCCCGCTGCTCCCGGTCGCGGGCCCCCGGCGGCAATAATGAGCCACGGCGGCGTGACCGCGGCCCCGGGCTGCGCCGCCGCCAGCCGCGCGGGCGCCGCATTAGCATTTTAGACGCCTCCCTGTTTGTTCTTTTGTGCCAGTTTCCAGCCCGAACGCGCCGCGCGTCCCGGGCCGCGGACTGAGCGCTGGGGCCACGAGAGCGAGAGCGGAACGCAGCGGCCCGCGGCTGCCTCTGGGGGGGCCCCTGCCGGCCGCCCTGTCCGGCCAGACCCCCCACTTTGGGACGGCGTGCCAGGCAAGGAGAGGCCGGAAGGGCCCGGGGCAGGGGCGAGGCCTCGCCCCGCAGCCTACCCCCACCGGGGTCTTCTCCCCGGGAAGCCCCCTGCCCTTCGTCCCTGCAGCTCCGGACCTGGCGAACAGGCTCTGGCGCCAGGCGTGGGTTTGAGTGCAATGATACGGGGCCCTGGTCTACAACCTCGTCTATGTGTGCCTCAGTTTCCCCACCCTTACAGATGAAGCTGGGTACGTATCTCACAGGAGTCCATGCTTGTGAAAGCACTTATCTCAGTGCTTGACACGTTATCTAATTTATTCTTCAACAACCCTGAGAGGTGGGTATTAATACTGTCACGGTAAACGGGGCTCCGAGGGGTGAAGTGGCAGAGGTCTTGACAGCCAGGAAGCTCGCGCACTGCCGGGGGAAGCAGCCGGGAGCAAAGTCTGTCTCGGAGGTAGACTGAGGGGTGCACTTCGTAGGACTAAAGTTTTCTGGCCCAGGAAGGTTCTCAGGAACGAGTGAATTCAAAAGAGGAGGCTGGAGAAGGAGCCTGTGCTCCGGGTGGCACCTTTTAAGAAGAAGCTAAGGAGCCCTGAGGTTCGGGTGTATGCGTGCAGGCACCTGGTGTCCCAGCATCAGCAGGAATGGCTGTCACTTTCTACCATTCATGCGCCATGTGTGTGCTGAGCACTGCAATTGCCTGGGGGTGACGGGAGAGAGGGGAGGGGGCCAAACGTACCACAAATCAAGTCAGTGTGACACTGGCATAAGGATAGACATACAGATCAATGGAATAGAATCAGAAGTCCAGAATTAAGTGTTGACATTTGTGGCCAGTTGATGTTTGACAAAGGTGTCAAGATATCTCAGTGGGGAAAGACCAGTTGTTTGAACAAAGGGTACTGGTACTACGGGGTAGCCACACCATGGTGTACAAAAGTTGACTGAAAAAGGATCGTAGGCCTAAATGTAAGAGCTGAAACTGTAGAACTCAGAAGAAAACATGGGAGTAAATAGTTGTGGCCTCGGGTTAAGCAGTGGTGTCTTAGGTACGATACCAAAAGCTCACAAGCACAAAGAAGAGAAGTTGAATTGCTCCAAATTTAAAAGCCTCCATGCTGCAAAAAGGGAGGGAGGGAGGGAGGGAGGAAGGAAGGAAGGAAGGAAGGAAGGAAGGAAGGAAGGAAGGAAGGAAGGAAGAAAAAGAAAGAAAGAATGAAAAAAGCAAGAAAGAAAAAAGAGGAAGGAAGGGAGGAAGGGAGGAGGAAGGAAGGAAAGACAATCCCCACAAATAGGGCAAAATATTTGCAGATCACATATCTAGTATGGAACTTGTATCTACAATATATAAAGAACTCTTACAGCTCAATGATAAAAAGACAAATAACTGAATTTTCTAAATGGGGAAGGAATATAAACAGACATTTCTCCAAAAGAGGTATACAAATGCCTAATAAGCACATGAAAAGAAACTCACATCATTAGTCATTAGGGAAATGCAAATCAAAACCACAAGGAGATACCACTTCACACCCACTAGGATGGCGATAACCAAACAGACCCACAGCACAGGCAGAAATTAGAGCCCTCAACACTGCCAGGAGGAACACAAAATGGTGCAGCCATTGGAAAACAATTAAACAGAGTTACCATTGACCCAGCATCTCTACCTCTATGTATCTATACTCAAGAGGACTGAACACACAGGTCCACGCAAAGACTTGTATGTGAATGCTCACAGCAGCATTTTTCACAATAGCCAAAGTGGACAAAAAAGTCCGTCAACTGATGAATGGATAAATCAAATATGGATATCTGCACCGTGGAATATTATTCAGCCACAATGGAGTACTGACCCCCCACTACAACATGGAAGAATTTTGAAAACATGATGCTAAGTGGGAGAAGCCAGTCAGAAAAGCCCACGTATTGTATGATTCCATTTATATGAAATGTTCAGAAGAGACATCCATAAAGACAGAAAGATTAGTGGTCACCAGGAGTTGGGGAGAGGGCATGCGCTCAGATGGGGACAAGAACAGATAACAGGAAGTAACTGGTAATAGGTGCAAACTTTCTTTGGGGGAGTTGGGGGGGGCGTTGTGAAAACGTCCTGGAATTAGACAGTGGGGAGAGTTCCACAACCTTGTAAATATATAAAAACTACTAAATGGTAGGCTTTAAAAGGGTGAGTTTTATGGTATGTGAATTATGTCTAAATAAAACTATTTTTGAAAAGAGGAGGGATTCGAGCATTACTTGTGCCAGTACAAATCATTTTCAAAGTTAGGCAGGTTGGGGGACAAGGAGGAAGTGAGTTCCAGGCACGGGGAACGGCACGTGTGAATCCAAGATCTGACGGCAAGAGAAGAGCCACACGGTGGAGGGGGGGACATGGAGGAAGTCGGAAGGGCTGGACAACAGCGGGCGAGGGGGACAGAGGCACGCACTCGCACAGACCCGGACTCACACCCTCCCGTACCTTCGACCGTCTGCAGCTGCCCGTAACCTGGTCTCCCTCAGATCCCTCAACACACTACCCTCTCCTACCTCTACACGTGCTTTTCCTTCTGCCGGGACCTCCCATCATCCTTTCATCCACCTGGCTGATACCTTCCTGTGCCACCACAGCCTCTGGAAACCAGCCCTCCAACCTCCCCGCTGCCCCACCCACCCCTGGCCTGTTCCATCCTCCTCCAACCTAGGACATCTCCACCTCTGTCCTCCCAGAGCCCCAGAGCCATCGAGTCCCAGGGGCCATCGATGCCTGCCTGGCTTCCCTCTGGGGGCCGAGTGGCTAAGGGGGAGTGTGGCAGATACTCGGTGCAATCTTCAAACTCGAGTGTCCAAGGAGTATATGTCTTTTCTTTAAATAAGTTTAAGCCCAGCTCTGAAGGCCCAGCCCTCTAAGCCATGGGCGATGTTATCACTCACTTTTGGGGTTCTCCTTGCCCCAGGGTTGCTCCGGGGTCTTGGGGTCTTGGGCCTCAGAGAGGCCCCCCGGTCACCAGCAGTCACCTGCCCTGCTTGTTCCCAAGGACATGCCGGGGAGGCCCAACCTCACAGCCCCACCAGCTCTGCTATCTCCAGGCCACACAGCCGGCCTTCTGAGGTCATGTTATCTCTCTTGGAAATGGGGCCCTGCAATTCTCTTGGAGGGACCCCCTGCTCTCTCCCTTTCTAGCTCCATGAAGTCTCCGTCTTCTCTTGATGATTTCCAATGCAATCCCCACTCTGTGAGACACCATTTATTCAAGGAGCCTTGGCTTTTACTCTTGCTTTGCCCTATGCAAGAATCCATGAGGCAGAGGAATTCGAAGGGCCAGGCTACTGGAGCACAGAGATCGGGGAATAGAAAAACAAAATAAGCAAGATGCACTCATATGTCAAAAATAGATCATGCCACAAGCATGCACCAAAAAGCCTTAATAGGTTGTGAAGGGCCAAGCCTTGGGTAGACGTTGGGTACAATGCCAAGGCCAGCCTGTGTGGGGCTTCGCCCACCTCCACGTGCAGATATCACTCGGGAAATTTCCGCCAAAGCAGGCCATCGACCAATAATAATTCGTGGGATGGATGAACGAACCGAAAGTTCTGACTTCTTCACTCCCAAACAGCCAGCTTTCCTGATCGGCCAGTGAGCAGGGCTGACAAAATCCAGTATTAGATGCTTAACACCCACCATCGGCCTCTGGCCCTGTCTGGTTTCTGTGTTGTTCTAGATCAAGGGCAGGATCTGCAGCATGGATGCCAGTGCTGACCACCCCCAGTGGGGCTGCTACTGAAGAGAAAACACCTGGTTGAGCCGTCTTGGGAACACCCGTGGCAGTACTCGAGTTGAGCGAGTGCTTCCTGAAGCCAGAAACCCCTCCTTGTGTCCACACTGTATTGCATTCAATCTGCACCTGAGTCCTGCTGCATTCTTGCTTTTGCACTGAGACAGCTATAGCACCGAGAGGTGGGTCCAACCTACACCTGTCTGTCTCCAACGCCTGTGCTCCTAACCACCCTTCCACCGACTGCCTCCAGTTGTTTTAAAAAAAGGTCTGGAAATTTACCCATGATGGAAGGAGCAAACTCAGTAGCTTTGCAGGGAGACAATTAACTGGCTTCCAGCAGTTTGAGGGAAGGGCCCGCCCCATCCGCCCAGCATAGGCCCACAGCCAAAACCAGCAGGGCCCTTGAGTAGGTGCCACTGCCCTTGACACCATCCTCACATCTAAGACTGCCCTGTGGTTCTGGGGCTCAGTA